ACTTCCCCAAATTAAAATATAATGGGATGCAGTTGGCTGCTCTGGCAGGCTTTGAGAGCCCTGCACTGCTGTATGGACAGTCAGGGTTAGGTTGCCAGCAGCGAGCAGGGCTGCTCACGGGCAGAAGCAGGTCTGAGGAAAGGTGAAAGCAGGGCTGGCTCTCGGTCCACTTCCTAACACTCAGCTGCATTTATTTCAAAGCAGCAGATGGGAAGGAGCCACGCACTCAGCGGTGCAGCAGTTGGCACACGTGCCCTTGCCCTAAGGTCACTGCATGCACTGCAGATGCCCCGTGCCAGGGCTGCAGCACCATCCAGGACACGCTCCCCATGCTCCTTGCTGAGGCCAGTTCACTGCTCATAAAGAAACAGATAATTAAAAGACTGGGGAAAAAATAATCAAAAGGAGATTTATTATCCAGTGAAGGGGGGGTCTAAAAATGGCTAAAAATTGACTTATTTTCCTTGTTCCAGGTGTGCAGTTCCTGTGAGGCACTGGACAAAACAAAAACAATGCGGGGACGAAAAGTAGGACAAAGCGCTCCTCAGAGTCCTTCAACACTGGAGTCACTCCTTGGATGTTTTCTGATCCTAGTTCATCAACACTTTCCTGCATTACTGATAGCAGAACTGCGAGTCAGTGCCAAATGAAGCTGTAACAAAACCTTCACTTCTCACCGTATTCCTTGCTTTGTACATTCAAAACCCAAATTAATCCATTAACCACCATCCAGACTCCACATCCAGACTCCATGTACAGCTGCTTATCTATAGCTATTCTCAAAATCTAATCAACACTTTGTGAAAGACTTCGCCAAAATAAAGCCTGCATTAGTTACACCTCCTAGGTGTAACTGATCACAGTTTGGCCAAACTGAGATGGGCTGTTTGTTTTCAAAATGTGTTTTAAGTGATTCAGGACATTCTGCATTGAAGAGTTTCCTGCTCAGAATTTACCCCTCTTACCTCCAACATTTGAATGAATTACAGATTGTACCAGTAATGAATATGAATTTCTTTCAAGACACTGATAAAGTATGATATAGTGTAGCAACAGAATGTTTTGCCTGCCTAGAAACAAATTTTTCCACCGATGAGTCTCAATTTATTTTACGAGCCAGGGTTTTATTCATTTAATAGGCTCCATGTTTATTCAGCATCATTCCAGTTTCTTAAATCACAGTGTCTTGTGCTACTTTTTTATATACAGAACACCAATACTATGACATTTTCCAACCAAATTTATAACTCATTTAAAACCCCACATTTGTTTAATAAGAACTGCTTCCTATTATTTCCAATCCAAATGAGTCTATTATAATAGCATCATTAACTACCCAACATTAGATATTTCATTGTTTTGCCTAGGACTAACAGTAGACTGACAAACCTGTAAATTATCCTAATGGCAAACACTGTAAATATTAACGCAGTAATTGCTTTTTTTGCAGTCTTTTGGTACTTCATCTCTGCTCCAAGATTTATTCAAAATCAGCACTGGAAAAAGCGGTGCCAATTCACTGAAGGGTGTTTTATCAGAGTTGTCTGGATTTCATTTTAAAATGTCTAGCTCTAGCATCTTCTGCTTTAAATACACTTCAGTCATTAATACGACAGTCACCATTATCATTCAAGATAAACATTTCACCAGCTTTTTCTCTATGTAGAGAAAGAACTTTTAATGCACACTTCCAAGCTTTCTTCTACGATTTTAGAAAATTCTATTATTTCCATAAAGGAATGGACCAATATTATTCTTCAAGCTTCTCTTCTTTCTCCTCTTCCCTCCTCCATCTATAATTTGCTAGCTGCTTCCCATGGACAATTTTCTTCTTGTGCCATTTTCTTCTCTCTAATCATTCACAATCCCAGGCTTTCAGCTGAAAGCAATGGTTATCTGCTGTAATTTCCACCCCTTATCCTTTAACCCACATTTTAGATGAAGGATCTGCAAGTATTCAAGGTGTTCAGACCTCTAAAATTGATAGAGCCATCTGGGTGCAGAGGTGCACTCATCCCTGACTGCTGCCCTGCCACACTGCTCCACGTCATCATTCACGATTTTCCAGACATCTGAACTGCCCCTTTTCCACTGTCTTTTCCCAGACTGAGGAAATCTGGTGTACCCAATTGCTTCTCAAATCCTGGTAATCCCCATCTATACTGCTGTATTTAATGATCCTGTAAGGTATCTCTGTAAGCAGGACCCAAGCCATTTTTGGAGAGTCCCAGCTTTGAACATGGGGCAGTCGGCAATACCAGTTGTTTTAGACAAAGCTACCAGCACAAGCATTAAGGCATTTTGTCAGGCAGTAGGAAGGGCCAGAATACCTGCCACAGGCACAAGAGCTCCCTTTCTCCTTCACACCATGCCAAAAACTTCTACATAAGAGTCTTCACAGCATTATACTCTCCATCTTCAACAGGGCAAGGCGAAAATTATCCCTATCCCCTTCCTGCCATTGGTCATAAAGGAAGGCAGAATAGATCATTTATAATAGTAGCCATGTTAATGAGAAGTGATTAAGGCTAAACTTCAGGAAGTGTGTGCTACATTCCCACTGCTGCCAAAAAATTCCTATATGAACCTGAACGACTAATTCTGCACTGGAGTTTCCTAGCTGTGTAATGAGGATCGTTGTCACAGGATAATGATCGAGAGATGCTTGCACGTTAAAAGTGATGAGGATCTCTGTGACAAATGTTAATACAGTTTCTAAGAGCCTTTCACAAAGATCAGGAGAATTAAATTAATGGCAGATTGGAAAGATGGGTTGTGAACTACTCTATCTTGATCTATAGCCCAGGCGACAGAAGAGTTAAGCGCAGGAGGAGAGGCATCCCTTTAGAATTGCCAGTCTCCAACATGACGGGTGAATGGAAAAGCCACGCTACTGATGAAAAACTGACTTTTACTATACAAAAAGTTACACACCACACTGTGATTTCAACCTTGAACAAAGAAAAATCATCTCACTTAAAAGTGAAGAGTAACTCAGGAACTTCTTTATGTAGCATCAGCAGGGACTGACAAACTTTTAGTTAGAACTAAATAAATCCTGCGGCCTGATGCTACTCATCATTCACCAGCAGCAAAGATCTCACCCTTCATACTGAGAAAAATGATATTTAGGATGAGATGTGTCGCAATGAATTTTATTAGTAGTTGGGCACTGCCAGGTGTTTTCTTACCATTTTGTTGCAGGTGTTGAACAGAGCTCCAAAATGTTAGAAAAATCTCTGGATCTTACATACACAATCAAAAAGGTCAGTTAAAAAAGCAATTTCAGATGTTAAGCCCCAGTTGCACGGTTATTCTAAACTTAATTACACTTCCATAAGCAGAACTTGATCCAAGTCTGGGGGAAAACCCCCAGCATTTACTGAATTGTCACAAAGGGGCAGCTACTGAAATGTTCATCCAGTTTTCCCCAAGACAAGCACCCATCAGAAGAGAGTCTCAAGACCATTAAGAGGGAAAGCAGGTTTTATAAATGGTGAAGTGGAAGTCATTAAACAATATCATGTAATGCTACACATAAGCAAGATTAGCTTTGGTATATTTTTTAATTCAGTACAGAGATTCATGCAGCTTTCTTACCTTTCTTTGGGAAAAAGAGGTGATAAATGGAAAAATCAAGTTTTAGCTAGGAATCCCTGCCTTCTTCCAGTATGAAAACCCTTTCCAAAGACATCACATTGTTCACTTCACTCAAACCCACCAAACAAACACCTTTTGGTGACATTGTATATTTTAGCTTCCCTGGCATCTACAAGAGTTTCTCTGTGTCAGTGACTCCTACGTCAATCTTAAAAGGTCCAATGCAGAAAAGAACAAGGCCAATGTTACCAACGTATTCAGTCACTGATGGATTGCAGAATTTTTTCAAACAACTGTCCTTTCCTGCGAGGTGCAAAGGAGCAGAAACTCATGCTGTCAACAGAGCGAAGTTATTATTGTTCTAGATGCAGATTAACTTCACTAAGGGATATTTATTGCTTCACCTGCCTTGAACGATAACTGCAGACTCTTTGACAGATGGCTTGTAGCAGGTTTCATCTTCACAGAGGTCCATAGCCTTGTAAATATTGTGACAAGTCAAACCGGTCCGCTGTGCAGCTATAGACCAGCTTTTGGGGTTATCCACTGCTCGGAGGAGCACCTCTCTTCACCCAGCCCATACCTTGGCTGGCAGGAGGCTTACATTTAGCAGACCAGCTTGTACCTCAGCGCTTTGTAAAAGTGATGGGGCCAGGACCTGACAATGACAGATCCCACCCACAGTTTTCATTGCTCTGAACAATGTGTAGGCACTGTATAACCATCCCTAATATCATCCACTGAATATGCCTGATCATTTTAAAGCAAGCAAACTCTGTGAATGTACTGGTTTGATTTAACAGCAGGCCATCAGAAAAACAAATCACAGCAATGCCTCCAGAAGGATAACCTTGAGGTAATCCCACCTCGAGAAGGAACCTTTCCACCTTGTTTACAGCAGACCCTACTGCTATGGCTCCGGCAAATGAAGGCAGCTCATTTTGCAAGTGCCAAGGACAGATAGATCGATGACACTGAACAGTTAAAACCTCCGTAGCCAGAGAGCAACCATCAGGAGGTAATTCCAGGAAAACATACCAACAGCCACAGACACCTATCTGGGCATTGTATTTCTGTAGCAACACCACAAATTTTGTTAGCTACCTATATTCCTGAGAATACAGTTATACAATATCACTTCATTGAATTACAACAGTGCTACACACTGCTGTTGAAGCAACACGACCAGAGGGTAGCACCATTTACAGGTTATACTGCATAAGCACCATCACGGTAAGGTCTGCAAAAGTCACTGTATTTGCCCTAGTGTATCACTCCCCCCTGATTAACAGAATGGCAGGAAAGATTTAAACCCCAGGCTTTTTTAAGCCTAATAAATTGTGTTTACCACCAAGGGACTCAACCAGTACAGCGAAGGTGAAGCTTTGGAAATATCCTACCTTGCGAGAAGCATTTTTGTCTGTGCTCTCCACATCACCGTCCAAGAATGGCATGGCAAATGAGCTGAGATCCTGCCAGGACAGAGAAGAAAAATTGATGTCTCATATTAATGTCTTTTTCCTTCCATCAGAACATCCCGTGATTTTATTTCTGAAGTGCCCACCGCTTTACCCATAGTGATTGCCAGTAAGCAGTAAGCACGGGCTCTGATGGTTCTCCTTGGCTGTGAAACCAACAGCAGATGTAAGTAACAAGTGAACAGGGAGCCCTTAGCAGCGCTTGCACTACATCACCATGACAAAACACCTGCACAGCCAAAGTCAAAAGTCTTATGCTAAAACTTTCAAAGTGAGGTACTCAAATCCCACAGAAAATCTGGCAGGAAATTACACCTTAGATACAGCCACTTGCTCAGCAAATGGTCTATCTTGTCTTTGGTGGGGTGTATAATCTTAGTTTAAAGAGTATTTATGGCAATAAACAAAACCTGAATAAGAATATGTCAACGTTCTGAAAAATATGGAACATATATAACAAAGAGGGAGAAAACTGCGATAGAGTACTTGGAAATAACCAATTCACTTGCACAGATTGGAGAGGAGCACCCAATTCTGCGTGACTAAAGACAATAAAGCCATAAGAAAAGCACACATGCTCATCTTTAACTAACAAAAACAAACTGCAATTATATTCTACCTCCCGCCGTCTGTTCAGTTTATGCTACTTCGTGTTCCAGCCACGGGGTTTTTAGAGCTCCTTTCTACATGCATAAGGAAATTATGTTAGTGTCAAGTTTAGCATCTGTTTGATCAGAAGAATAGATAATGAGGAGCTCTACGACCAAAAGCATGGAGTTGCCTAATGCTGTGTGCTGAAGAACTGAGGCTTGGATCCCAGACCTTGATCTAAATGTCAGAAATACCTCCCCAGCGCAGAACCGCCCAGATGCAAGGCATCACCCTTCCCATGTAATGATTCAGTGCTTCTCTACCACCACATCTGCATCCCATTTCAAATAGTTCAAAATATAAATAAATAGCAATTTCATGTAAACCTAATTTGAGACTAAATACGCTTAATGAAAAATTAGCACCGGCCGGGAAGTCTGCAAGGCTTGCTTGCCTTCAGAATTCAAAGCAGCCACAGGTCTAATCACATCACTTTGTGTAATCATACTAAATCAAAAATATGCTCAAAAATGTGTATAACAGGCATAATCCTTACAAGTGTTTGAAAATATTCTGGTTACATAACGAACAACAAAAATAAGAAACAAAATATTGAATTACTGGAACTGAAGCACATGGGAGTAATTCACGCCAAGCTGGAAAGGGGAAAAAAAAAAAGCAGCAGCAGCCAGGCTTGGCCAAGCTGGCCCCAGATCATTAGGCCACAAACCAAAATATTCATGACAAATTAGTACGCTCCCAGCTCCATCCATGCACATTCAATGGGAACTACAAAGGCCCAAACTACAAAGCAGCAACCCAACTGCAGAACATCACCCTCACTGCCATGCTTTGACGCCTGTATTTCACATCATCTACGTTTGCAAATGAAAAAGTATGGAAAGATCTCAAAACCAAAACAAGAGGCAGTTTATTTAGTTTAGATTTTCACTGTTATCAAGATTCGAAGTAGGCTGAACCAGGCACCGCAGGACCTTAAAGAAAAGCTTCTGTATTAATTTACTTACTCTTATAATTAGTTAAGAGCAAAATGACTTACATACTCCATATAAAAATTATTCAGCCATAAATGGCATTTATAAACACTGTTAATAAATAGATTATCATTATTATTATGATTCCTACTTCATACGTTACTGCAGGACTTAAGTAAAGAATGTCTGTGAACAAGTTTAAGAGCCTAATGGAAAGTTACATAAAAACATATCCCCTTGTGTTTACTTTAATTTAGCCAAAGGATTTACCAACATTTTCCTCTACCCATCTTCGGTGGTGCAGAAGCTGGAATCTGATGTGTGCTAACTCATTTTCCATGGAACAAATCTAGGAAATAACCTCTTCTGAGCTCTACATATTAGCGTCCCTATATTACGACTTCTTGTAATCCACAGGGAAAAAACCTGCTGTTTAGGAAGGCTGGAGACTGGTTGGAAGAAACTGGGTTTAAGAGGATACATATGTAGCAATCAGGGTTGAAAAAGCTGTTCAGAACATCTGGAACAGCCAGGAACGAAAGCATAACTTCCTTTTTTGAGCAGAAGCCTTCAAAAACAGGAGGGGGGAGGTAGCTATAACTATTTTTCCAGGTGCTAAATTTCAGTTCCCAGTTACAATTACAAGCTTAAAAACATGTCTACATTAAATCCTGAAGACTAAAACTACCATGAAACCTAGCTGATGATTCTATTCTACTTTGTAACCCTGAGATATTGTGGAATTATGCTTAGTTCACCTGTCTTTACACACAGAAAAGGAGATCTCTACTTGTAAGCAGAAATGACCGGAGCTATACCTCTCTGGACAACATGAGACCTTTCTTTGTTAATACAGTGCTGGAGAACATTTCAAAAAGGTTAATAATTGTACTTTTAGTCCTGTGATAAAGTCTGTAATTGTAGCTGCTACCTAACAATTTTTTCATCTTTCACTTCTCCATGGGATTCTATACCTGAAGGCATCCATTTACAGATGGAAAAAATACATATATCAAATGACAGGCTGCAAATACTGCTCTCTTGATTCCAAACTGTAGGTTAAGCAAGGAAATATTAGATGGTTATTTTCTCTTTGCATGTGTATCTGCAGAACTACAGCCTAGGTACCTATTTCGTCTCCCTCTTCATCCAGAAGCACATACGACTACTCAGTTGGTGATATGGTAGCTCTCAAAAAAAAAAAAAAAACCCAAACCAAAACTTCTCCAAAAGCGTTGCAAAACACCACAGTACTCTTTGATAGGCCAATGGTGCAACCCTAGCCCTCATCACATATCTGGCTGCTCTGATCTTACGGCAAGAGATACACATTGAAGGCTTGCTCTGCCATCGACCTGGCATTGAAACCATTCTTGGACAGCTTTCTTGCTCTCCAGCTCTGCTTTACTGCACTTGGAATAAGTGCCCTGGAAGATCACATGGTTCTGGAGAGACATTTAAAGATCTTCCACCAAAGGTGTACAGTGACGTCTTGGTACAAGGAAGAGTCCTTCTCATTTGAGACTGCAGAGCTCTGGCTGAAGAATGAACATCTCTCCCTGTATCCATCAGTCCTGCGTCATATCCTCGGACAGACAACTTCTGCAGAGACTGCAGTCTACGACCATCGCTGTAAGGAGCAAAGGCCACCAGAGATCTCAGCTCCTAGTGCTGCTAACCTGGAATGAACAGTCTGCAAAGTCTCTTTTGCAAAGTTTTGTTAGCTTTCCTGCCATTCTCCTGCTCTTCAGTCAGCCCTTCACATCGCTCAGTGCCATCTGACAGCCAGACATCACTCCCGCCATCCCCAGTTAGAAAAAAATGACCTCTTGAGCAGTCTACATTTACTTTCGAGCCATAAAGCTGCTGCAGATTTATTTTGTTTTCAATCCACTTTTATTTACAGCAGTTTGTCATGGCAGCTCCTGTTATATTTGCTGAAGAACATGGCCCCAGGGATATCAAAGCTTTTTCTGGAGGGCAGCAGAGCTGTGACACAACAGGGCTTGGTGCTCCTGCTACCAGCCAGGCTCCCTGCTGGGGAGGGCAATCTCCCGCAACACCTACTCAACAGGCCATTTGCCAGGACTTTGCTTATTGATAGCACAGGATCTAAAAAAGCAACTAAATTGACTTTACTGTTTTTAACAGACTTGTCTGCTGCTTTAGCTTTTGTAGGGTACAGGTCAGGATAATTCTGTCTGCAAGCGCACTGACCTTCTCTACCACTTCTTTCCCCATTTCCTCTGGGGGGAAACGGG